ACACACAGACTGTGAGTATTGCCTCAGGACCCCCGGGATATCCACAATATTCCAGAGCTTAAGGTCCTCAGCAAACATTAATAATGACACCCCTAGCTCTCCCGGCAAGTCATTTACATAGATCGCGAACAACAATGGCCCCAATACCGAGCCCTGCGGAACGCCACTAAGGACAGCTTGCCTGAGCGAAAGGCTACGCCCCACCCGTACGCACTGTTCCCTCCCCTCAAGGAAGGCAGACACCCATTGAAGGGCGCGACCAAATATCCCGTAAGATCTCAACTTTAGTGAGAGCCGAAGATGTGGAACAGTGTCAAAAGCTTTCGAAAAATCTACGAATAGCACGTCTACAGCGTGGCCACTGTCTACCGCTTCGGCCCAGCTTTCATGAGCTACAAGTAAATTAGTCCATGTTGTGCAACACTGAGAAGGTTGAATCGACTCAGGTGGTTCTCCACTGAATCCCTTATCAGCTTCTCGAACAATTTGACTACTACGCTTGTCAAACTGACAGGCCGGTAGTTCGCGCGTAGAGCGCTGTCACCGCCCTTAAAAATCGGACAGATGATTGCCTCCTTCCATTCCGAAGGTAGGCTGCAGCTGTCCAGCGATATTGAAAATACGCACGTGAGCGGACCACTCAGCTCAGTGGCCAGTGCATGCAACAGCTTCGGATGAATTGAATCAGGACCGGAAGCTTTAGAGGGATTAATGCCTTGCAGTAGGTCGAAGACCTGAGTCTCCGTTATGCTAAATTCAGCTAAGCAAGAATCCTCTGGAACTCTTGAAACCAATTCAACCTGTGGTAAAGAGGTCTCCCGAGCAAAGACCGCAGTATACTGATCACTCAGTATGCAAGCCTTGTCATAGTCAGTTTGCGCACGGGTCCCGTCTGCTCGCATTAAAGCTGGTATAGACAGTTTTGCCCAGCTGCGTCTTTTAACGTAAGCAAAAAACTTCTTGGGATTAGCTGCGGCCGAGTCCGCTAAACCCTGCTCGTATTGGAGACGAGAAGTTCTGAGATGTTGCTTACATTTATTTCTATTCTCTCGATAACTATCATAGGTACTGGCTGATGGAGCTGCTTGGCAGGTTCGCCAGCATCTAGACAGTTTCTTGAGTAGGTACTTGCTTGTGGTATCTATCCATGGAGGCTGTGCCCTTAACCCTCTTTTCCTAATGAGTGGAATATAGGGAGCGGAAACCTCCGTAAGGTATGCCTTAAATTTATCCCAGGTTAACTGGACAGAGTCAGCCATCGAGATCTCACAGTTCAGAACTGAAGCCTTAGTTCGCATTGCACTAAAGTCCGCCCGCCAAATATTCGGAAGTAATTCAACAGCGGTCTCTTGGTGCCTTGAAAGAGCACATCGAAAGGATATGCATGCGTGATCGCTGGACCCTAGAGGTGCACCGCATGAAACGTCAGTCACGAAGTCCAGGGACTTAGCGAAAACCAAATCCAAAGTAGATGGTATTTGGTTGTCCATATACCTAGGGGGAAAGTCAACGAACTGGTGCAAAGGCACTTGGAGAGTCAGTTCAAGGAAGTCTGCACCGAATGTTCCTAATGCCGAATTGCAAGAAAGATCGGCCCAACAGACTTCCGGGAGGTTGAAATCCCCTAGAACTAAACACTTATTCGCAGACTGAGTGCGAATAAAGTCAAGTATCCCCCTGGAGGAACTTCCAGGACTTCTGTATATCACTATAACTGTAAACTGGGTAGAGGAAGTGCACAAAACAGCCGATAGGGCTTCAACAGTCTGATCCGACGACTGGAATGTGCAAGTCCTCAACACATCTAAGTTACAACTCACATACAGTACAACGTCTCCGCCTTGGCGACCAACGGAGCGATCAGTTCTAAGCAGCGCGTATCCAGGTAAATATACCTCACCGTCCGTGATATCCGGAGACAACCACGTCTCAGTGAAAGCAAGTATGTCGGGACGAGATTTGTCTACAAGTAGACCCAAGTCGTGCACCTTGTTCCTTAGGCTACGCACGTTGCTAAGTACTACCTCAAGGAAGTCGGCACGACCATCCCTGGGTCGTGCGCCATCAGGATTGGTTCTGATAGGGCGGAAAGTAACTTCCGGCTGACCACCTGAAAACCCACCAGACGGAGGACTTGCTCACCAGCCGCCCGTCTAGTTTTGAGGTCTTTGATAGCCTCCTTTAACTTCAACCTATCTGCCAGTGGTAGGTCCGGCTGAACGCTGACACCACTACCCTTAAGTTTGAATGCAAATCGCAGTAACGATTTGCGTTCCTCCGGGGTAGAAAGGACTACGCGAAGTAGTCGGGGTCGTGGATTTGGCGTAGCGATAGGAACGTTCCCCAATCTGGTCAGCTTTCTGACAGTGACACCAGGGAAACCAGGTGGAAGCAGCTTGCTGACACACAGTTTCAGCCACTTGATGTCATCCAAGATGCGTTCCCTTGGGAGAACGGCCTCAGATTCAGTAAAGTTACGGAATATAACGCTACTATCCGTGAAAGAGTCGGCACGACGGGGAGTGTTTACCCCACATGCCTTGGAATCGACACCTATACCAGCTGTTTTCACCACTGGCGGTGGGACTGTCCCTGGCTTCCCAAACGACGCCGAAGCGACGGTAGCGTAGGTTTTCCGCTCTATTGCCGGCGTCTTACTGGTTCCTGGGTCTTCAAGCCCCTTCGAAGTTTTACGAGCAGATCTTGTCCGCTTCTTCTTTTGGCTCACTGGAGCAGGGGCCGTTGACTTTGTATCGCATTGAGCAGTTACCAGCATTTCGTCAGAACAGGCTGGTTCACTGGCGGCCGAGACAGTCAGCGTCTGTGGAAAGTTCTGTGTGCAATCCTCAGACTACTTTATGACTGTCAAAGACGGCATCTCTTTCGATGCCGTGGCAACTATTTCTCTGGGTTTAGCAGAGGGCTTTTGGTAGTTCCGCACCCTATTTTTCTTCACTTTGATCGGATCATGAGGACCGCCAGCAATGCTACCTGGATTGGCCGGTAGGATGTGCGACTTTATGACCGAGTGACAAACTCCAGTGGATGGATCGTCAGCAATGTTGCCGTCTATTGCTGTGTCTTCAAACGAAATATTTAGGGATTTTAAAATCAAATCCATTTTCGTATCGAGCGACGCAATAGAGGCGAGTTTAGCTATCGCCAACTCAACATCTGCCAACCTTGAAGCCAACGCTGAAAGTTTAGCACCGGTGACAGCCGGGCGCGTCGATCTTTTAGCGCAGCATTCAGCGCAGCTGAAAAGAAAGTGGACGCTTGATGATAGCATTTTGTACTGGTCAGCTTGTAGGCCGGTACAGCTTTCGTGATACCAGCGGCAGCAGACGTCACACTGCATACCACCAGATGCATCTGTTACTGGCTCTGAACAGTTAACCTGTCCGCAAGCTGCAGTAGACTCATCAAACGAGGACCCCATAGGTCCATCCGTCTCGGTGTTTAGCGAGACAGCCATGTTCATGTGGAAAACAGATTAGAATTACAACACGTATACAATAGGAAAACGACCGCAATAAAAAGGCAAAAACAGGGTGCAAAACGGGATTAAAACTGGGAACAACCGGAAAAATTACCAGTAAGCGTCAAAGACGCTTTGGCCAGTACCAATTTAATCGATCCAAGATATCTTGGATCAGAGAAAATTTGACAATAGTCAAATTTCGTTTCAAGTGTTTATTCAAACACTGTTTTCCACGTTATTTCAGCTGAAAAGCTCGATCAGAATGGCACGCCAAAAAATCGAGTTACCGCGTAGTATCACTGGATCATTGGATTGTAGAGAGCAGAAGGAAAGTCCTTTGTCAGCTCCTTCACTTCCCGATCATTGCGTGGATGCCGTGAGTCGCTACGAGACGGTATTCCACAAGGGGCCGTAACAGCTACATTGGAAGAAGCAGGGTCCCAGCTTACTCATCAAGTGAGAATCCAAAAATCGCTTGAAACATTCCTCCGACTGCGCGTCGACCACATGTTTCGGCAAGTCGTTCCAGTCATTGACAATGCGGGTTGATAGAGCGAGAGTGGAGCGAACTCTGAGTCTTCTGGGTTTATATAGTTTCCAGTTGTGCCCCCGAGTGGAACTATTAGTGTTGACTTGAAAGAACGCTTGTAGCTCCGTCCCCATTTCCCCCATCAGAATTCGCCTAGTAAAAATTAGATCACCTCTACGTCGGCGATATTCCAGGGAGAACAGGTGCATCCGCTGTAGTCGATGAGGGTAAGGCAAGTCCCTTAACTCCAGTATGGATTTCGAGGCACGCCGCTGTACCTTCTCAATCATGTTACACTCGAACCTGGTAAGAGGACAGATGGCGGGTAGTCCGTATTCAAGGATCGGGCGCACATGAGAAGTAAACAGGATTCTGAAAATTTCCGGAGTCAGTCTCGAAAAGGCTCTCCGTATGGCATGGGACATCCTGGTGGCAGCGGCAACCCTCCGTAGTGTGTCTTCTGAGGTCCGTAAATCATGTGAGACAAGCACACCGAGATCTTTTTCAAGAATGGTGGTTCTGAGTAACACCCCACCAATATGGTATATCCCGAACGGTTCGAGGGCGCCTATGGAGAGAACTGAGCATTTTTCACAATTTATGGGCAATTGCCAGTTGGCTGACCAGTCGTGTAGAATGTCCAATGATGCCTGCAATCTGTCAGCATCCTCAAGACAGGTTACCTCCATCCACAGCTTCATATCATCGGCGTAAACCAGGCAATCCATCTGAAGCTCCGATGGGAGATCATTGATGAATATCTTGAACAGTTCTGGACCAAGTACTGACCCTTGCGGAACACCGCTAGTCATCAGCACAGGAGTGGAGTAGGCTTCATTCACCTTGACTCGCATCGTCCGGCCATTCAAAAAATCAGCGATCCAGGAAAGAACATTCCCAGAGACACCGGTACCTCGGAGTTTAAGAAGGAGCCTTTCATGGGGGACCTTGTCAAACGCCTTGCTGAAGTCTACGAAAACCACATCCAATCGTTTCCCAGCGTCTAACGACCTCGCCCAGTTTTCCCTAGCAACAAGCAAGTTCGAGGTACATGAGCGTGCCCGCCGAAAGCCATGCTGGGCACAGGAGATGATGTTAAGATTCTCGAAGTGAAGCTGCAGGGCGCGCTTGAGAATCCTTTCCATTAACTTGCACAACACAGACGTTAGGCAGATAGGTCGATAGTTTGCAGGATCTTGACGATCCCCTCCCTTGTATATAGGTTTGACGGTCCCCAATTTCCAAGCAACCGGGAGTCGTCCAGCTTCCAGAGAGTGGCGAAATATCTGACAGACGGGAACAGCAATGTAGTCCGCCACGGTCTTGAGGAACAGCGGGTGCAGTCCATCAGGACCCGGCGAGGAGTTCGGATCTAATTCACGAAGGCCTTTGGCCACGTCAGCCACACTCATTTCTATGTGCTGCAACGAAGAGGGGTGGATTGGCGCAGTGTCATCGGGTAACGGCGTCTCGATCGAGTAAACAGATGAGTATTGCAGGGCCAGTAAACTGGCTTTCGTCGCGTCGTCGTCAAGTAAACCGCCCTGCTCTTCAGAAAACAGGGCAGGAATGCCACTGCCAGCTTTTGTACTTCTTTTCAAATAGGAGTAGAGTGCCTTCGGTGTCGTCCTGGATTGCGCTGCCAAACTGCGTTCATACTGATGCCGTTTCTGACGTTTTTTCGTGATGCAGTCGTTCCTGATCAATTTGTACTCCGAATAGTCAAGCGCGCAGTGAGTAAGCTTGAATCGGTCCCATAATTTACGTTTTTTGGACATCAAACACCTCAATTCTCGGTCTATCCATGGAGGGCCTCTGGTAAACGTTCGTCTTTTGCAAACAGGAACAACCTGCTCAACAAGGGAAATCAGCTTGGAGTACAAAATTTTCCACTCCTCATCTGGGTCCGAGGATAGAGGGATATTCCAGTCCATTCCGCTAGCGGCCGCTTGCAGGCGGATTGGATCGGCACGCCAGAAATTCCTGCGGAAAGTATCTTGGTTGTGAATAGTGAGGCGTCGAGTCCAGAGGAATGAGATCGTACAGTGATCACTATTACCAATAGGCGGAAGAGTGGTAACCTCTGCGACATCTGATTGCGCCGGGGAAAGCACAAGATCGAGAATATGGGGGGTTTGTCCGACACATATACGGGTAGGCACAGTAACATGTTGAAATAGGTTACACTCGAGGACGGTTTCCAAAAAGTCCGCAGCGGAAACGTCTGAAGAAGTAGCAAAGGGAATGGTCCTTCTGTGGCGCGTCTTTGATCCAGGGTATTATACGGCTTCTATCGCTTGTACATATCTTTCTTCCCAATTTTACTTTCCTATTCGCAGTTCCATTATTGTTGTACAGTTTTGTTTTAACTGACCAACAACCGATAACACACTTTTTCGGGTTTCGATTCGCCTTCTGGTTTCGGCTACGCGTGTTGTGCTGTTGGTCGTCGTCTGTCTGCTGGCCTCGTCCGTCGATCATCGGATCTAACGCGTCGATTTATTGTGCCGATTAAGTTCCGTCTTCCGACCAGATTGTGCGACTAACTGACAGCCTAGCGAAGATCGTGCTTTACCTAAGGTCAGCTACAGAATTCTTATTTATAGACTGAGTTTTTATATGTAGTTAAGCCCTTTCCGTTTGGCCTTTCCACTACATATTTGGTGACCCCGTTTTCTTTTTTTGTAAGCTCAGAACTGTTTTTTGTGACTTGACTATGTCGGACCACGATCCCCGCACTGACATTTCAGAAAATTTTGTTGGCTCCTCCTTCCTTGCCTTCGATTCATCTAATCCTCATATGTGGTTTTTACAATTGGAAGCTCTTCTTCGCATACGCCGTATTACTTCTCAGTCCTTAATGTTCGCACACGTCACTGCCCAGCTTCCTACCCACATCGCAACTGACCTTATAGATTTGCTCGATCCGATTCCGGCTGACGCACCTTACGATAAGCTCAAAGCCGCCGTATTAAAGCGCACCACGGCCTCCGACGAAGCTAGACTTCGACAATTACTTTCCGGTCTTGAATTAGGTGATCGCACGCTGTCACAACTTCTCAGGCACATGCGTACGTTGGTCGGTTCCTCTAAGGTCGATGACACGATTCTGCGACAGCTCTGGACGAAATGTCTTCCATCGAACACCTCAGCTTTTCTCGCCGTCTTCGCAGATGATTTGTCTTTGGACAAGCTGGCTGAAACAGCAGACAAAGTTCATGAGTACTTTCATAAACCCGTAGCATGTCACGCAGTTGAGTCGGCCGCTAACGCCGATCTTAAGACTGACCCGATTGAAACCATTTCTGAGATGTTATCGAAGCTGAAGCTCGCCATCTCGAGCATTAATCGCTACCGTGGTAGAAGCCCTAGACGCTCCTCTCGAAATAGACGCAGTCCTGCCAGGAGTTCGGGAAGTCCTTTCTGTTGGTACCACCACCGTTTTGGCGATGATGCAAGGAATGGGTGATCTGATTGTAACCATCCGAAGTCATTCCACAAACCGCAGCAGGGAAACCTCCACGCTAGCCAGTGATGGCGACGGCTGCGTCTGGCCAAGCTTACAGTCGCCTACTTTACGTCTACGACTCCTCAACCGATTTGAACTTTTGGTTGACACTGGTGCCGAGGTCAGCGTTATTCCTCGTTCTGCAGAAAAACGCAACCTATTTCCAACCGGACTGACATTGTGGACGGCGAATAATACCAAGATCCATACGTACGGCAAGAAAATATTGACTCTCAACCTTGGTCTTCGTCGAAGTTTTCCCTTTGTTGTCCTCATCGCTGCTGTCCTTTGTGTTGATTTCCTTACCAAGTTTGGCCTGATTGTGGACCTGCGTAACCGTAAACTATGCGATAGTTTGACATCCTTGTCCGTTTCGGGTAAAGTCACTTCGATCAGTTCGATCGGTCTTCGCTTGGCATTGCCCGCCGACAATGCGTTTACCAAACTATTACTGCAGTTTCCTGCTCTTTTTCAATGGTCTAATGACGTTTCTGAGCCTAAGCAAAAAGTTACGCACCCCATCTTAACACATGGGCCGCCAGTAACCGCCCGAACTCAACGATTACCTCCAGACAATCTCGCTACTGCCAAGGCAGAGTTCGAACATATGCTTCGTCTCGGTATCGTTCGTCCTTCCATTAGCCCATTGTCCTCCCCGCTTAATATGGTTCCCAAAACGTCCAGCGGAGATTACCGCGCACTAAACAATTCCACCGTCCCCGACAGATATCCGATTCCGCACATCCATGATTTTTCAACTTGTTTACATGGAAGAACAACTTTCTCTAAGGTGGACTTGGTGCGTGCATACTGCCAAATTCCGGTTGCTCCCGACGATATTCCGAAGACCTCTATAACCACGCCATTTGGTCTTTATGAATTCGTTCGCATGCCATTTGGTCTACGAAATGCCGCACCGACTTTCCAAAGATTTATTGACCAAGTCCTTGGAGGGCTCGATTTCGTCTACGCATACATTGCCGATATTCTTGTGTTTCGTTGGAATCATGATGAGCATCTGTCACGTCTCCGATCGATCTTCGAACGCTTTGCTCAATACGGCGTTACGATCAATGTTGACAAATGTGTTTTTGGCCAAAGTTCTCTTGATGTTTTTGGCCACCGAATTGATTGCAATGGCATTAGTCCACTCCCCGAGAAAGCACAAGCGATTACAGACTACCCCATGCCTCAAACTTTCAAAATTCACCGTTTTCTCGGCATGGTGAATTACTACAGCCATTTTATACCAGATTGCTCTGGGCTACTCCTGACATTGATCTAGTTACTTAAAGAGAGGTCAAGGAAATTTGAACCCACTCATGAAGCAATCGATGCATTCGACAAGATCAAGCACGCGTTGTCCAACGCTACCGCGCTTAGTCAGTTGAGGACTGACGTGGACGCCACTCTGATCCTCAAGACTGACGCGTCTCAGACCGCCGTTAGGGCTAACATTGGAACATTGGAACATTGTATTTGATGGGAATAAAAGCTGGAGCTTTACATGACCCATAGGGTAAAAAGAGTACGGGTCGGGTTTAATGAAAGGCCAAGCAACATTATAGCTGGTTGGACTCGCGTGTTAGCCGTATCTTCATCGGGCTTATGTGGCATTTAAAACAGAATGCACACCGGCTCAGAGCGAGACATCCCACCACGCCCTCCGAAACGGCTTTGGAAATGAAGTAGGTGGAAGAAAAAAAGAAAGAAATTCCATCCAGTGGAATGTAATTAAATTAGGGAATGTCGCGGTGTAGCTCGTCCAGATGACAGTCCAAGCGGGCCTTAAAGTCCGCCACAGTGGGTGCCAAGACTAAATCG